GGCCGGGAGGTTGGGGGCGAGGCCGGGAGCGTGGGGGCGAGGCCGACAACGTGAGGCGGGGCCAAGCGCGTGAGGCGGGCCGAGAGCGCGGGACGGGGCGGGGCCGGGCGTGCGGGGCGGGGCCGGGCGTGCGGCGCGACCGGAGCGTGGGGTGGGGCCGAAGGCTCGAGGCGGGACCAGGACGCAGGCAGTCCCTAGACCGTGGGGCGGGGATGGAACGTGAAGCGCTACCCAGAGCGTGCGGCGGGCGGGCCGAAGCGCGGGGCGGGGCGGGGACTTGGGGCGGGACCGTGAGCGTGCGGCTGGGCCGAAGCACCAGGCGGAGCTGTATTGTGAGGCGGATCCCGGGGTTTGAGGCGGGCCTTGGAGCGTGGGGATGTGATACGGACAGGAGGCGAGACCGGGGCGTGGGGCGGAGCCGAGAGCATGGGGTGGGATCGAAACGTGAGGGCGGGACAGGGACGAGGGACACCGCCAGGAGCGTGGGGCGGGGCTTGGAGCGTGGGAGCGGAACCGAGAACGTGGGGCGGGCCGAGGGTGCGAGGCGGGGCCAAGGCGTGGGGCGGGGCCAGTAGCATGGGGCGGGACGGGGACGACGGGCGAGGATAGCAACGTGGGGCGCGGCCGCAGCGCTGTGGGTAGGGCCGGAGCGTGGGGCCGTCCGAGAGGGTTGGGGCGGAGCCGAGACCTGGAGCCTGAGTACTGGGAAGGGCGAAGAGCGGGAAGGCTATACCTGGGCGTAAGGGTGGGCCCTGAGCTCGGAGGCGGAGCCAAAAGCGTCCTAGAGGGCCTCGAGCGTGAGGCGGAGTCAAAGGAGTGGGTGTGGCCAAATTGCTGGTGTGGGTCCAGTGCCTCGAGCGTGGGGCGGGACAAGGACCCGGGAGCAGGCTCTGCGAAATTGCAGTCCCCTCCCAGCAGGGCAGCTGCGTCCGGGAGGGTGGTCTGTGGAGACACCCCTGCGAAGGTCCCTGAGGGACTGTGGCCACCAGGGAGACCTGGCCTGGTGCACTGAGCGGTCAGGCGGCTCTCTTGGGCACTGCGAGGCGCACACCACGTCTCAGCCCTTTTCTGCTGCCCACACGGGTGTCCACCAGCCCGGGTCTCCCCAAGTTAGCACCCACAGGCCAGGCCCGCACCCAACCGGTCTCCCACCCCTGCAGAGGGAGCATCTCGTGCATGGGCGGGCAGGGTGGCCAGGGGGACTGGAGACCTCGCTCGGGGACTGCCTGGCCGGCCCTGCACAGGAGAACCCTCGCAGGACGTCCAACAACTGCCCACAGCATTGAAGGAAGCAGGTGTGCGGGAGTTGGGCGGTTGGAAGGCACAGCCAGGCTGACCTGGAGCTGACCCTTGGTAACGTCCAGTCCCTCTGTCCCTCTGCTTGTTACCCCTCAGCTGGCCCAGTCCCTGAGAAAGTGGGTTAGGGCTCCACCCTCCCTTAGTCCCCAGTGGGTCTGGACTCGAGGCCAGGGCCGAGTGGTGGTAAATGCTGGTTGTCACTTGGACAGGAGCCCCCACCTGCAAAGAACTGTGTGCTGAGATTCCACCATGTTGGGCTTGCCTGCTCAACTGCTCCCAGGCACCATCCAGAGTGTGGACAAGGGCTCTCCTTCCTACCACTGCCTTCGGGTCACAAGCGCACAGGCCAGCCTGAGAGCAAGGGCTTCCTATACCCACCACACCTCTCCCCATCTCCCCATCTCCCCATCCCTCTATCACCACGACAGCTCTTGCCCAACCTGCAAACCCAGCTGGCCCCTCCCTAAGGACGTGAGCACCAGATATTGATCACTGCCCCTAAGCAATTGCTTCTGGTGTCCCCCATGACACCCAGGACCCTGTGCTCCACGGAGCCACGCTGGGCTTGGTACCTCAAGAAATGCTCCCAGCAGCCCCCAGAGGGTGGCTATACCCCCATTCTATAGGCCAGCACATCTTCTGGATACTGCTCGCCCTCACTGCCCACCCTCATCCTTCTTGTCTCCAGACCAGAGCAGAAGTCCTGACTGGGGGCTCCATGAGCCATGGGCCATCCTCCCACCCAGCTGCCCACCGGTGGTGCCTTGCCTGGGGTGAGCAGGTATGGAGGGAGACCCAGCACCCAGCCATTGCCAGCCTGACAAGTCTCAAGTAGCATCCGATACGCGGGGTTTTGTAGGAAAGGGGGGCAGCGAGGGATAAGGGCCACTGGGGAAGCATCCCCAGCCTACCAAGAGCCCAGGTCACCCAGGGCCATCACTATGCCTCAGGGCAGGCTGGGCAAGGCTGGGGCTGTAGATGAGGAGCCTACAGTACTGAATGCACACTGGCCCCACTAGGGTCATGGCACTGGGGGGTCACTCTCACCCACATCTAGCTGGGATGGCCCCAGGCCCCACCCTGCTCAGCCTAGGAGTCTTAGAGGAGACAAGGCAAAGCGGGTGGCCTTCAAGGCACAGCAAGGTCTCTCTGGGGTGTGGGAGTCCTGGGTGGGCTGGAGAGACAGCAAGAATTCCCAGATATTGGCCCTCAGGTTGCCTCCCCGCTCCCAGGCACAGGTCCCCAGTGCTTGCCTTGGTTCTGCGGAGCTGCTGCTGTGGCCAGGCCAGGCTCCCGGGGTTGTGTCCATGTCCTTCCTCCTCCTGGCCCATGGCGGCAGGTGTCCCCAGGCCCTGGGGCCACAACAGGGCCCTCGGGCCCCTGGCTCCTTGGGGCCCCAGCCCTGCAGGGACAGGAAGGGAGTCAGAAGGCCTGCTACAGTGGATTACAACTGTGGGCATGAAGGGGAGATTGAGCAGGGTGGGAGTGGGGACAGACCAGAGGAGGGAGCTCAGGGAAGGCTCTGAAGAGGAGGAGGCGGAGAGGGCAAAAGTGAGGGCCCGTGGTGGAGAGGGAGACCTGACGGGGACTGTGTCAGCCACCCACAGATGAAACCAGACAGAGAGCCACAGGGGCCTCCCTTCTGAATGGCTGAGTTCCTCGACGGAGCACCCGCTTTTCGCTTTCCCAGTGAGGGGCACTGGAGTTTGCCAGCAGAGGCTTGGGTTTAACTGTGGATGATATTTGTTCAGGAGTTCCATGAGCCACGTGAAGAACTTAAGACCAGAAATGAAATTCTTTTCTTCAACTTAGACACACAATGAATACTCTGAAATAAAGTGGACTTTGGCGGCTTACACGTGTGTGTCCACTTGGCTGAGGAAGACCACTTATAAAAAGCGATCCAAAGAAGTCATCTAAGTGCACCAAGGAGTAGGCTAAGGCGTGTCCAGCATGGCCTGACATGGGATGAAAACCAGCAGCAGAGAGCAAGCTGCAGAAATAGGGTACTGTGAGTGGCACGTCCCCATTGTCTTCCGGGAGGGGAGGACAGGAAGGACGGTTCTCATTTGGGCTTCTGGAGGGAGATAGGAGACTCAGGCTGAACCTCTTCTGGGCTCTCCCTTCCCTGCCCCTCTGCCCTGTCCACAGGTGTCAGAGGTGGCGGGGGGGGGGGGGGGGCGGGTGAGGCCCTGAAGCGGGGAGGGAGGCTCATCCAGTTACGATGAGTGAGGCATGGACTCCCCTTTGGAGGCACAGCCCCAGCCGCACTGGCCAGCCACCTTCTTGGCCATAAGCCAAGCCCCTGCGTTCCATCCCTCTTCCCCAAGTGTCCTTTTCTCACCGGTTCTGAGCCCAGGAGGACGGCCCAGTGTTGTTTGTGTCCCCATCCCAAGCCCAAAGAAGGAGGCAGAGATGTGACAACAAGGCCGTGAGATAGAACACCAAGGAAAAGGCCACAAGACCACACATATCAGGTGCCCGTTTTTGTGAACACAGAAAATGTGCACGTAAAGGCGAGAAGACTAAAAAACTATTCCAGGGTATTAATACGGGCCACTGTCGGAGTGCAGTTAGGGCTGGGTTCCGTTATCTTCTTTCTGCATTCAAGGAGACGTTCTGCGGCCATGTGACTGTCACCAACGCATGCAAATCACAAAGGTGTGCGGCAGACGCCATCTTCCTACCCGTGATCAGTGTAAACTAACCCAGGGGAGCGAGGACCCTGGGGGAGAGTGCAGAGCTGCCCGCTGGGCAGACTCAGGCAGGCCTGTGGCCCCAGGACCAGTGAGAAGGTGCCGAGTCTAGCTTCCAGGGCCGGCCAGCCCAGCTCGCTGTGGCCACTCCAGGCTGGGGTCCCCCTGGGCGCCGACTCCACGGCAGGCAGGCCCCCGCCTCTCTCCTCCCTGTGCACACCTTGGGGCAGGTGTGTCGTCCACGCTGGCATTTCACACCCCTCTTCCTGTTTGGGGTTCTCTCACAGCTCTTCAGCTAAAGCTGCCTCAGGCGGACACCCCCGAAGTGACCCAGGTCCCAGTGCCAAGCTGGGGCGGTAGGGGGATATAAGGTCAGGGCTTTGCCTCAAACCAGCCGGCTCCAGAGTCAGCTCGGTGTTGACACCTGGCGTGACTGTCACCTTCTAACCCTGCTGCTGCGTGTCACCCTGGCCTGATGGTCCCTGCTCCTAGGAGCCGTCGTCAGCTGCATTCGGGGTTTGTCACACATTATTGTGCGCTCCCCTTTCATAGGTGAGGGGGTCCCATGGCAGAGGTGGGCAGAGTGAAGCACTCAGCCATTGTCAGGCATGTGGCAGTCCCCTCAGAGACAGCCGCTGTGGTCACTGTGCTTTTTCCCCACTTGCTTAGCATTCCAGGGTGCCAGGCCCAGCTGGCCAATGCTGTGATTGTCCCACGTCCCCTGCATAGACAACTCACCCAGCAGACCTGACACGGCCCCCCACATCTCGGCTGGCCCCCATGTGTCAAGGGTCAGGCCTCAAGGCCACCAGGAAAGCCGTGGCATGGTAGCAGGCATGTAGCCCCAGGGCAGCACACTCCATCCCAGGGTGCCATCCACACCCAGCCCAACTTGGGTCTCACCTCCAGTGTCCTGAGGGGTTCCTGTCACTCCAGGCAGAAGGGCATAGCAGGACACCTTCCCATACTGCCTCTATGGAGGATTCTGACCCTTTGGTGGGGATGTGTCCTGGAGGTCTAGGACACAGTCGAGTAGGCTCATGATTAGAGGGCAGTCCTTGAGTGAGTTCTGAGTGGGCCCTGCCAGCCACAGGGGCCTGGGAGACGAGAGGGAAGAGCGCCTCACCAGTTTGGGAGCCTCAGGGACATAGGGGTGCAGCCAGGGCTGACCCAGCTCCCACCTCCCTGAAGACACATCTATCTATGGCAAGGTGGGTACCTCTCTCTTGGCAAAGGAGGGTCCTGACCCAACCCTGCTGGCCCCAGAGGTCTGTGGCAACCCTCCGAGAATGAGTCTCAGTCTCAGGGTGGGGCCAATGGCTGGCAGTGGCCCAGGTCAAAGAAGGAAGGGCCTGCTGACCTCCCCCAACCCCAGCACCGTTTTCCCGGGAACTGTAGCATCTGAGTTCAGGGGCCTTCAGCCCAGCTTGTAGAAGCAGCCGCTGAAGTCTCACCTTCCCAGGTGGCCTCAGGTCACTTCCCTTTCTGGTCTCGGGCACACCTGCTCTCTTGCCGTACTGACCCTTACACCAGGCAGACTTGCACCTTTGTCTCCGCCATTCCTTCACCTGGAATGTCCTTCCGTGACCTGACCACCCCACCCCTGAAGGCCTCTCTCAGCACCAGGAACTCACATTGCCCCTCTGTTGGCTATCTTTTCTCTTTCTGTCGGAGACACCTCATTCAGCTCCAGCAGGCCTGTGCAGGTCCAGGAACCAGGGGCAGCCCCGCGGGCTGGCAGCTAGGGGACTTGGTCATGGGGGGCAGGGAGGTGCCAGCCCAGGCTGGCTGGCTGCCTTTGCCCACGGCCACACCCACACCCTCCGGGTCAGCCTCTGCCAGCCCCTGGCCTCTCGGCCACCTGCCTCCCACCGTGCTGTCCAGAGATGTCTCTTTCGGCTGCCTAGGAGCCCCGCGGCCGCTGTGGCCAAGTTATAAGTATGTGATTATGTATGCCGAGGTCCCTCCGGCCCTTTGTTGCTGCAGAATCTGTCCCAGCAAACAAAAGTGCACTGGATTAGCCACAGTGGATTAAAAGATTTGCTTCTCAGAGTTTACCTAACAACCCGACAGTCCTGCCTGCAGAGGCTTTGAACCTCAGGACGTGCTCAGCAGGCCATCTGGGAGCTCTCGGCTTCTGCAGGCAACAGGATGGCGGTCAGGGTGATTACAGGCAGCTACCGCCCCTCACACTCTGCTCTGTCTGCAGCCAGGCCTGTGCTTGTGGCCTGTGCTCGGGGCCTGTGCTCTTGGCAGGCCCGTCTGGGTCAAACTTGGCAGGCTCGTCTGGGGCGAGACCAGACTCCAGGACAAGGTGGAGGAGGCTGTGGTAGGGGCACGAGGCCCAGCCAGGACCACCTTCCAGAGGGCCTGCCGCCCAGGGCCCAGGCATGGTAGGGACCAGGCCTTGCCTCCCCCAGCCCTACCCCCTGGGCACGTCCACACACCGCACACAGCGATAAGGCCACGAGCAACATGGAGGGTGGCCGTGGTGGGCAGGGACACGCCAGTCTCCACCATGCTGCAGCGCATGGCCCCACTACTGCCACCCCGTGGTGTACGTTCCTGCACACGCGTGCACGCGCGCGCGCACACACACACAAGCGTGTCCCTCTTTGATCTCCAAAGGACGCTGCATTTACAAGCTCTTGATCGCAGCTGCCTTTTCAGGGCCTGTCCGCTAAAGTCCCGAGTAATGGGATTTGGCACTTCTGATCATCTTGGTCTGGCCGTTCCCCAGGACAGGTGGACATTTTTTTTCCTCTTTTGCACTTCTTTTTTTTTTTTTTTTTTTTTCCTTTTCAAAAATAAAACGCTCCTGAGACTGCACTGACTTGACGCGGCTTGTCGCCCAGCCCTACAAGCGGGGCCAGGAGAGGGGCCAGGTGGCCGGCACACCAAGGGCCCGGCCAGTTGGGGGTCTTTGATGCGGCTTCCGTGTGAAATCGGAGCGAAAGACGTAGGAGAACGATTTCGGGACCACGGTGCCGTGGGATTCATCCTGCCTCGTGCGTTTCCCTTTGTCTCCCTTCCCGTGACCCTTCTTTGGGACGTTTGGGGAGAGGGTCCCAGGGCAGGTGCGGGCGTGTGTGCAAGCGTGCGCATGAGGGTGCAGAGGGCAGGGTGGGCTGAGTGAGGGCAGGGCCTCAACCATAAGAACAATGGGCAGCAGGGAGCACATCCACCTGTCCGCCTGTTCGTCTGTCCATCCATCTGCCCGCCCGGCTTACCTCACCTGCCTGGCTCCGTGTGCCTGCTCGCGCCCCACCATCCCGCGGTCCGCCATGATGGGCTTGGCCGTCCGTCTGAGCACTTTCAGCCACTCCAGGACGCGGGTCCCTGCTCTTGGCCACTGTGTGGCTGGGAGGAAGAAGTGTGACTCTGGGCTGCAGCTCGGGCTCCCACCGCCGATTGGCTGAGGCAGGGACCAGATGACGGCCTCAGAACCCTATGGTAGCCATGGCAACCAGCCCCTTTAGACACCGCCACCCGGAGCCACTCCTGACTGCCGAGGGAGCAGGCAGTGCCGACGTGGGCCCACACCAGGGTCCCCTTGGAGAGTAGGGTCAAGCATGAGTGGACCCTGCTCCTATACCAGCTGTTGAGTGTGTGTGTGTGTGTGTGTGTGTGTGTATGTGTGTTTCTTGTATGTCCGGTTTGAAGGGTCCCTGTCCCTCTCTTGGGACGTGTCCTGTCTCACCACCTGGTGGAGGCAGGAACAATGTCTTTTTAGCCTCTACTTCCACGAGGATTTCAGGTCAGGCTTGCCCCAGGGGCTGAAGGCCAGCCCCTCTGGTGAGAAAACAATGGATGACGGCGGTAGGAGGAAGGGCAGGGGCAATTCTCCATGCTAAGGGAGACAGAGCCAGGCTCTCAATCCACCTCAGACCCCAAAGGTCCTTCCAGCCTCTTCTCTGCCTGCCAACCCCTTCTCCACACTTTCACAGACCTACTGAACACACAGGCTCACACAATCCCCAATCAAGAGCCTTTAGAGGCCCCAGGCTGGCCCTGCTGCTTCATAGACCCAATGTCTGTGTCCCCAACCATGCAGGACTCCGAGACTTCAGTCAAACCCAGCACTTTCCAACCCTGCAGGAACTGAGTACACACCTGTGACTCTACCTGCTCTTCCCTTGGTCTGAACTCCTAGGGTCTCT